ATCCGTTCGCGGGTCAAAACGATAATGTTTTCGCGATGTCCGCCCATCGTGACGGCGGCGGCTTGGTGTAAATGGGATATTATATTTTATACGCACTGTGTACATAATATTATCACGCGACGTGTAATATAATAATAATAATAATTATGATTACTATTACGACACAACGACGCGGAACGTCGTCGTCGTCGTCCGGCCGCCGGCGCGAGCGGACTGGAATCGGTGCGAAAATCACATAGCGAAATAGTGAGCCGATGCATAGCGTTTCGTCATAAACACTATATTATATTATGCACACCCGCGAGCCGAATACAATACCTATGAACAGACGGTGTATAATTATTATACCTGTACACGGCACGTTAGGTTGAGTCTACGACTGCAATAATTCCGGAATTCTCGACCCGGCGGTGTTAGATAATAGTAATATTATCATGATGGGTTCGCGAAAGAATATCGATATTATGTTGAAGAGGACGCCACACCCGCATGACGTGTTGTCTCCGTCTTACAAACGCGTAACATACCAAATTTACTCTCAGAAATTCACGTTTTATGCCGTTAGCTTAAAAATAAGAGTGAATCGACCTATCGTGAAACTTCATGGTAAGAACATTATCTGTGTTTTGTTGGAAGTTTTTTTTACGATAATTCGGTTTTTAAGTGAGCTATGCACGTATAATAAATGTAAATTAAAAATGCTCATAACTCACTTAAAAACTGAATTACCAGAATTATCAAAAAACTTCCAAAAAAAACACAGATAATGTTCTTACCATCAGGTCTTATAATAGTCTGATTGACTTAAATTTTTAAACTAACGGCATAAAACGTGAATTTCTGAGCGTAAGTTTGGTATGTTACTCGTTTGTAAGACGGAGACAACACATGCGGTGTAGCGTCCTCATAATGTGAATATTTACGTCGACTGTTTCGGATATACAACTGCAGTATATATTATTTTATTCTTATCGTAATACCGCGGTTGCATTCGTAGGGTAAGACGAAAATTCGTAGATTTGGTTTTTTCTTACACACGATAAACGATCGAATTCGATTTCGACGTAGGAGGTATATTTTATTGCCCTCTTCCCCACTTTAAAAATTTGACCTCCTGACCGATTCAAACGTTTGTGCAGAAATGTTCACCTACAAGTCCTATCTTGGATTTCATTCCATCGTGGTCGAAACCGTACCGAAAAGAACCAGTCATCTGTTTCGAAAAAATATTATTACGGACGCCTTATTGATGAGATGAGTTGCTGTAGTCGCTTGTTGTACTTGTTGCACTTCCAACTATCGAACCGTGAAACGTCTGTTTACGAATCGCCCATTATAGAAAAAAATAATATATGTCAATATCACATCGATCAGAGCAGGAGGTCATCTGCATCGTAATAGTATTCGCGCGCTTTGGCGGTGGTTAGCCATATACCTACCATATTATGTATTATTATAGTAAGTATCGAGGGGATTCGATGCAGACGGGTCGTTTTATTGCATCAAGTTTTAATTGCACTGCCGCGTTCTACACTCCACGCTGACCGGTATTTACAGACTGCGAGCACACCACAACTGTCGAATATAAAAAATAAAAAATTGATGTAAAAAAAAAAAATCGGTTTGTTCTTCGTAACGACATTACTTCCGGTGCTGTCGGTTTTGTATTTTAATAGTATTGATTATATTTCGATGTAGGTGCTTACTCTACAATAGTAAATCATCTTTTAACGCGATCAGCATTATTATATTTTTTCGAGTGTCAACGACTGAAACGAACATCATTGTTTATTTGGGAACCAAACCGTGAATGGCTGTGGCACTATACCTATAACGTCCTACGAAGGTCCTCAAAACTTCATGATTTTTAATCGATCATTTTCAAATGAGACGCGTATCTCTGTATATAAAATCATCAAGACCTCTATAATATCTCTAACTGTGATGCTGCAGGTGATGAACATGATATTTTAGCAATGTCGACTGATAAAACATATATGATAAAAATATAAAAACAAAAACATAATTGCCAGGCATGATAAATCATTTCACTCAAAGACGATCCGAGCTGAGGTAAATTTATCCGAAAATTGTTAGGTGACATTTTATTTGTTTGCGGACATTTTCTTTACAGAGTTCTTTGGTTTCTCTCCACGATTTTCTAGCGAGCTTTTGGAAATATTCATTAATATTAACCGTCTAAAAAAAATCTGTGATCAGACTGCATAATAATATTTGGAAGTAGAAGTTTTATCATAAAAGCGATGGTGAAGGATAATTCCGTTCAGAATTAAAATAAATTAGGGCGTATTGATAGTATTAATGATATCCTATGAACGTTGGACGAACATTTTTTAATTTCTTTTGTTATATTACATTGTGTTGTTGAAATTTATTTTAGTTTCGAATTTTTGAACAATTTCGAAATAATATCGGCTGTGACGAATTATTGGTTAACCATTTTTTACATTCATTATTTTCTGTTCTAAAGTTCTGTTGGAATTTAATTAAAATGTTAAAACAAAATTATCAACGACAAATATTGATGACGTTTCAAACTTTCTACGGGATAATAAAATAAATTATTCAATGCAGCCATTTTCAAAGACAGATTTGTTTTTATGGACTTTTATTTCCTTCGTTATTCAATTCGTTAGTGTTAATAAGTATTCCGGCTTGAATTTCTTTCATGAAACGGCAATCTCCAAAACATTTTATTAAGATTTAAATTTAGTTTCTATACGGAACGCAAGAGCTATTGTTTTTGAAATAAATTATCATTTTTACTTTTTTTTATACAATACATCTCCGGGTAATAAATATATTTCATTTCAGAATATTCTCATCCATCAAAAATGAACTGGTCTTTATATAAATAAATTAAATTACAAAATGTTGATATGATGTTTTAGAGTATTAAAACATTTTAAAACAAATATTTTCATACAACTTAAAAGTGTAATACTCGTGTTTTTATGTTTGTTTTAGGATTTAAAACCGATATCGTGATTAATAAAAAAATAAATAACTCTTATTCAGACAAATAGTTATTTTGATTGTTGGAATGCTTCAATTAGCTTTTGCATTCGTTTTACAACAAGTTATTATTATATCGCAGTGCAAAGTGTGTGCGGTAAGACGTAAGTGTCAGTGTCTTAAGTGATTCTATTTTATGTTTGTAGATTTTATTATAGAGTAAAATATTGGTTTTTATGTGTGTAGTGGTTTCGAAAATCGTAGCTTACAGAATTGTGCTCAAACGATATTATTACTGAACATAAAACCAAATTTTTTTTCTCGACCTAATATTCAGTCGTCTTAGAAAGTTGTTTAGTTTAGGAGTTTTTTTTTATAAGGGTCCTCCGATACGACTTGTATTTTAATATGAATTCTCGGACATTTTAAAGTGCACCCCAAGCATATATACCTACCTAGTACCCATACTTATAACTTATAAACCAAGCCTTTATGTTTCGACTGACCAAAATAAATGGAGATACAGTTGTACCACCTCATACAGGGTGATTTACAAAGCATTATGCTCACCACATTTTTTCCTCAAGTTATTTATATTTAAATTCTGATTTTTATTTATACAGAAGGTTCGTATTTTTAAATACCTAAATTTGTTCTGTTATCAAAAGAAGTGTCCTGGCAATAAGGTTTTTTTTTTTCAAATGAGTACACATCATAGGATATGATTTTTTGATTGATCTATTGTAACTTGTAAGGATATGTTTTTTTTTTAAATGTTGATTTACATTAACCGAAATATAAACAAGTATAGTTTTTTAGTTTTTAAGACCTAAAGATAATAGTCTACGATAATATATGTTTAAGAGATATGGGACTATATTATAATGATTTAGAAATAATCATGACGATTGTTATTAATTTATTCATAACTCTTTAACCGTTTGAGTATAAAGAGTAGGTACTTACTACTGATTTAGTACGAATATATTTTTTTTTATGTAAAACTATTATTTAAGTACTATAGTCCTTAATAGGTAGTACAAAATAACTGCCATCGTTCGAATTTCGGTTTATATGAATCAAAATTATCCAAAAGATCATCATCTGTTTAACAATTATATTGTATTAAAAGAGATTGGTCATCATCATTTTGAAAAAATAAACTACTTATTTGAAAATACGTTCTTTAATTAATATATTTATGTACCGTAAGAGCGGGATACTTTGCTCCAAATATATTTCTTTTTTAGTTTGAACCTATACTATAGCTTCAATAACAAAGATAAAAATTACCTGTTCGCGTTGTTTTATATGTATGGATGTTAAGAGGTAAAAACAATTCAAAAAAATCCGAATGTCGTACTAGTGACTTACTTACTTATTCCCAAAAGTTTGGAGCATAGTTAAAATACATTGCAGGTTACATTGCACAATGATTAAAATTACCTTACTTTAATGCATATAATAACTATTGGTGCAATGTTTAGTGCTTGTGTCTTAACTTATTTGAACCTATACTTAATATAATTTAATAATATATTTTTTTTTTTTTTTTTTAGTTGATTAAAAGTCTTTTTTCAATACATTTTAAATTAAATTTCAATCCCCTAGATTTTGGATTACTTTTCCGTTATGTATTTTTGTGTTTTTGAAAACCATTTTTTACATGATATACATCTTGGAGGAAAACTAATAGATTCATGTCCGTAATGTTTGAAAAAATTAGTAATGTTAATAAGAATAATATAAAAAAAACTACAATCTCTGATCTCAAAATCGTAATGTGCTACGATTGATATCAATAAAAATTTTTTTTGGAGCAATGTTTAACCCCTGGAGTAAAGTATCCCGCTCTTACGGTATTTGAATTATGTATACTTATATTATTTTAGAACACGAATTGGTGGGTGAGCATGGTTGGCCGCGAGTCACCCTGTATAATAAAACATTGGTCAATGATCCCACTTGCGTACTATTGTACTTTGTGAACGGACGCTAAAGGTCAGCGAAAAGGATTATTAAACATGGTTATAGGTATAGTGCCGTCCAACAAAGGATCCCGAAGACGTATCGAGATATTATGCCTGTACAGGGATTTCTATTTTATTTTCAAAGCGGCTTCCTGTCGAGAGGACATCGAATCGAATGTTGTCGATTATTGTACGACTCACTCTCGACCTGGGTCAGTACCTCGGTCGGCCGGCTCGCGTGCATCTTTAGGTATTTTTTATTTTGTTTTCCGGCGAATCGCAAGTGAAAAACAATGGCTTGGGATTTGGGATGCGTGCGAAAGTCGTCCGGTGTCTGTATAATATTATTGTTTGGCGAGCGACCGAGTTGAATAACTATATAGGTAGAGACGATTTATACGGTTAGGTCATCGTTGCAATAATATTATAATTTATACGGAAACCGACGATGGTGCGCCCCCACGTATCCGTTTGCCGACTGTAAAAAATAAAATAATAACAATAATCGTTATATGGGTAACGTACTATAATAATAAGCCTACCTATATATTATTATGCACAACAAACCAAATCGAAACGAGGTCGTCATTTTTTATATAGCGTATACCTACACGACTTCCTACATTTTCGTCGTCCCGAGAATCGACTCGGGTTTCCATTATGTATAAAATACTTTCGGCCACTATAATATAAACACAATAATATATTTATTATGTATTTAATGTATATTATGTATTATATATGTCGATTCATCAATCGTGATGCTCATTACCCTTTTATCCTGTCATTTGTTCGAATTCTGTTTTTTGGATTTTATATGTTTATGTAAAGTCGTTAAAGACTATAATATTATTTTCAGATGAATGTATTTTGTATACCATTTACGACGAGTTCTGTGGGCGTGGCGATACAAATGAGAACCACTAAACAATACCTGTGAAAAGGTCTTTGAGTCTAAATCTCGTTCTATTCTCTATAGTGTAGGCTCTAGAGTCGTTAAACTTTATCTACTAACAAAGAACGATAATAGTAAACTAATCGTCTGAATTTTGATTTTCAGGAGCATAAACATGTTTAAAAAAATAACCTACTTGAAAATTCAGGGTAAAAAGTAGTTTAAAAAAGAAGATCGTGCCTCCACAGGGCACTCCTCAAATTTCGTAAAAAGAATTTAAACGTAATTTAAAAAGATTATGTTTTTTTCAGTATACTATATACCCTTATACATATACTTACGTACCTATATAATATCTTCTCGAAAAATGTCAAAAATACATTATTAAAGGATAAAAGTAGAGTGTGAATGCTCCGTGAATCGTCCTGTAAATTACACCGTGCAGGTTTATAAAGTGATGTCGTAAATAAAATCTGTTGGAGTCGTAACATTATATGATTATTGGCGTCAAGGTGGCGGAATAATAACAACGATGAAAAAAAAGACTTCTCGTGGTTCAATGTGCTCGACGATCGATATCCATAACTACAAGTAGGCTGTAAACACAGTGTATTAAACCTAAATTAACGAAAAACTTACGAATCATCGTCCACCGGATGAGCGTGAAGTGTGCGTGGATATTTAGGTTGACAGGATGTGTGTGTATGCGTGTTTGTGCGTGTGTGTTAAATTGTTGACTATCGACTTTTTGACGCCGAAAAAACGATCATTCGTCGAGCAGAAAACCGGCCCTCTCTATTCGGTCGGATCTTTTTTCGTGGACGACGCAGACGACGTGCATGTAGAGCGTTACAAATCTCTATTGATATATATTATTATTATCCCGGTCGCGCTGTGACACGTGAGGATGTATTTTTTTTTATTCGATTATTTTTTTCCTCCGTCTATGTATAATATTATGTTCAGGCCATGGCTAATTAATATACGATTTAAGATTATAATTGCATGAGTCGTAGTTTTCACTTCGGAAAGTGAACGAAAATCGATTCGTCCGCCTATGGATCTGACGATTTCTGGGAGCGAGTAAGGCGACGACACGAAACGTATTTTTTTCGCTAAACAAAGCTAAACCCAGTACATCGCCTGTGTTCTTAATTTCTAATAACTGTTATATGATTATCATATATTTTATTGATCCTATATTTTCGAAATTGTGATGGTATATATGTAATGACGTCGAGTAATACAGTTAAAATTCAAAACAATACTTATGGATTTGTGTCATCAATCACTTTACCTAGGTGACTTTAGGTGACTTTAGGTGACTTTTATAATGTTATGACTTAAAACCTGTGAAAAAAGTGTTTGTATTGCATAAAAATATAGCAATAAGTGTTTGTGTATTGTGTTTCATAGTTTATGATAAATAAATACATTTTATTTTTTTAGTTAATCATTTTATTGTGACAAAAAGTGTATACAATTCCAAACGTTGGTCACCATTATTCTATACAGGTTACTGCGGTTACCTACAATTGTCAATAATTGTGTACTATGTGCACAATATAATACGATAATTTATTGAATAACTATCATAAAAACAGCACTTGAAACCGACATTTGATACCGAATTTGAATACCGGTTAAAACCGTTAAAAACCGAAATCAATACCGAAACCGAAAACAAAATCGAAAAAAACTAATACCGGTAATCAAAACCGAAATCGAAATCGGAAAAATTCAAATATTAAAGGTTTCAAGCCCTGCATATAAATACATTGGTATTGAGGTACAAGGCTAGATTGAAAATACATCCCCCCTAAGATTTAATCTTAATAGAAAAAATAGCAACAAAAGATTTGTCTTAATCATAATTTAGTAACCGGAATAGTAATTAACACGGTAATTTGTTAATAAACTAGACAAATAATATTATTATACGCATACAAATTATTTTAATAACAGTCCACGTCATCAAACTAATTGTTTAACGTCTTATATAATTATATTGCGTTTTACCGTGTAATTTAAATAAAACATACACTTTTTATTATTTTATTTTTCGTAATATTATTTTTATGCCTATAATTTTAATAAAACACAAATTAGGTACTCAACATTTATTTTTCTTGACATATTTAAAGACATCCAATATTTTAAATTTCAGTTAATTTTCATTATCATAATTGAGTGATAATAACCATCAACAAAAAAATTAATGAATCAAGTTATGAGAAGTAGTTAGTGTTGAGTTATAATCAATAATCATATTATATAAATTTGGTGTATATCACTATAGCGGTATTTAAAATAATGATATAAAGTGACGTTGGTTGACACGAAAGCTGTAAAGATTTTTGTCTCTTTCAATTTTGTATAACTCTTCTGTTAAGTCCATTATGTACGATATACCTAGTAGTAAAATACCATTTCCTTAGATCTTAGTTCTTAAAATGTAATATACTTTTAGGCAATTAGTTTGACATAGTCTTAAAAACAAATCATTTTAGAAGTAATAATATTGTGTATACTTAACTAAACAAAATTGTATCTCATATACAATCTCATATCTCGTCTTATATTGTATCTGTTATTTTATTTTAGACTAACCTGTGCGTTTTATAAATTAATGTATACGTTTCTGAGCGAGATATTTTTCTTTGGACACTTTTTCGGATATTATACAAGTAAAGGCGTGAATTAAAAAAAAGAAAGTATGAAGGAATTCCTAAATTGTTTGAAATTTTAATTTTGTTTGAACTTAACGATTAGGTAAACAAATTAAAGTGTCATAAGTTAAAGGTTTTAAATATATTATACTAGTGACGTAAGTTGAGATGCAGCTTTTCAAATTCCTCCAAAAGTAAAACAATAGAAACAGTTTATTGGGTATCACAAAATAATTTAGACTTGCTTTATTAAACAAAGCACAGTTGATCGTAGACTAATGTTTGTCTGTATAACCTTAAAATATATTTATCTACGTGGTAAAGTAAAGGTAGTAAATTACACTAAAATTGGATCGATTGGACATAGATTGTAACAACGTGACTTTGCCAACGTCAAAAATATATCAATTTTCCGATTATCACTTTGGTTTCATTATTATACAATTATAACAAAACATGATTGATTACAAATAATTTTTTACTTTTTGTTGACTAATTGAAATTACTTTAAACTTTAGGTTGTTACTTATTGTGTCTGATTTACTGAGTTTGCTTACAGTGCATTATTTTCGAGTTTCTACAGTCTACCTGTCTTGCAGTATTTTTGTATGAAAAAAAACTTTGTTTAATTAAGCAGGCTTTGTTGTTTAAATAAGAAAGTCATTTTAACTATTGTTGAACTTTAATCAGTAGAACCGCACTTGGCCCGATGATTTTATGAAACCACTTTAGTCTCGCATATAAGGCACTTTAGATAAACGTGTTTGATAAATATTCACCAAGTATTTAGTAAAGAGCTTTGGTGTCTTACAGTGTTCGATAATAATAAATAACAATAACACTGGCAACCCACCCTCCACATCACTAGACCGAAAATTTAAATAACTTGTTTGTGTTTAATAAGGGACCTACGAAATCGCCGTGCATATTCGATGGTTAACTCATCATATGAGTTCGCAAAGTGAAATTTTTTTGAAAATATCGTTTGTTCTATTGATGTTTGCAGTATTTTTTCTTTCACAAGAAGTTGAACTGTATAGGGCATTAAAGAGGTATCTATTCTTCAAATGGAATTGTTTTAAATATTTTCAAACGATAATATTTGTAATTCCAGAAAAATGCGTAATCATCCGTACTACGCGTCATGTCAATATGTAGTTCACTTATAACCGCATATCGTCGATATTATGTTTTAAATTCTATATGGACGGTCTTTGCAGTTGATTGAAAATTTGCTTTGTTTCAGGTTACGGTCATATCGCTCCAAAAACCCTAAACGGAAAAATAGCCACTATATTTTACGCGATTGTCGGTATACCGCTGATGCTCCTGTGCCTGTCAAATATCGGCGACATAATGGCGCATTCCTTCAGGTTCCTCTACTGGAAAGTATGTTGCTACACGTGCACCAGGCGGCAGAGACGAGTGCAGTCCCTAAGGAGGTCCCGCAGTCAAAGGTCCACTACAAGATCACACGGCGGGTAAGATTTTAAACGTATATATATATATATATATATATGTACCCGGTTTTGGATTTACATATTTTAACCCAGTCAAAGCACGTTCACTTGTTATATATAATTCCCTAATGACCCACACTAGGTATTGCGCGTCAAGTTTTATGGGTTTTGGCTTCATCTTGTATCTAGTTGTATCTCTGGAAATTAATGCAATGCGTTTATATATATAGAAAAATTATTATTTTATTATGTTGAATTTTTGTGCAGTTACTGTCGTTCAAGTTTAATATGCGAGAGAGGATCATTATAATATTAAGCTACGTCAACATTGACCACGAGCATATTATTATTTCTCATGCAAAGACGCTCAATATTATATTTTTATTTTTATCAGATAGAACCGATTTTTGAGTTTTAGATATTGTATATTTTTCTTTAGTTGAAATTGGATTATACTGAATATTATTAAGTACTATGATTTATAATATTATATGGTTATTACTTATTACTAATTTACGATTTTTGAAATATTTTAATTGTATAGTTGAGTAACGTAGGATTAATTTAAGTTCGGGTTTCCGTATAAAATAGTTCTTAAATTAGCATTACATATTATTAAGTCATCACGTACCTCCTGTACTTAGTCCGTATTAAATAACTTAACATAATATGATTAGTCGACAAATGTTTTTTTTTTTGGAAAACCCCGCCTAAAAAATACTTGATTGTTATTTTCGAAAGTCAGCTCTAAAACGATGGGGCTTTAAATGTTGCAATACACTGCTGCTGCGTAATCCGACGAGAGTATTTTTTTTAAAACATTTCGTACGATTACTTATCTATTTTTCTAGTTCCAGGACCACGTCACTAAAGAGAACAGGTCGAATATCGCAGAGATCCGCCGACAGCGCTCTCGGAATGTCGGACTGTTACACCAGATCTTCTTATTCGGACACCGAATGCAGGTGAAATATATCAGCTATATTGAGTAGTAGCTCGATTTGGTTTTTTGTATCGTTCTCACGATATTTGTATATTTTTCGCTTAGGTATTACGATAAAATGGAAAGAGAGTACGCCATGTTCGGAGGAGGGATGCCCGTTAAAGCCCCTAACCGATATTCACAGCAGTCCAGGTACTCCGACACCGTACCGTTAAGGAGGCACTCCCCGGCCATTAAACCTAGATCGACCAGTCAAAACAGTGGTCACCGAAATAATGCTAACCATTATTACCACGGACGATATCGAGTACAAGGTATCCATTATTGCAGTTTACATATAGTGTTATATAAATATATGTAAGTCGGAGTAAAACCAAATCAATAATATTATATACATTTGGAGAACTTGAAAATTGGTCTCATGCTGTGTATCAACGGATTTAATATTTATGTATTGGTATAATGATTGTGTCCCGATAAATGTTTAAGTGTAGTTAATGTTGAGTAATGGGTTGGATACACGCCAAGTAAATATTTTTTTATAACAAATGTAATCTAGCGAACGAATTATAGGTATATGTTTTACAAACTAGAACTGTATTGTATCTATGCATAAAAGATTCATGTCCCTCACACCTGCGATTGATCAAACACCAAAATTGTTATAATTTAAACTGTCGGAGATTAAAATTTTTTTTGATGATGCTTAAAACATTAGAATTTAACAGTTTCAAAAAAAAAAAAAAAAACCCACTGTACATTCTGTCTAAATGAAAATAATATGTACTCCATAAATAAATATTAATTTGAAATGGAAAATTTATGTTAAAAACTAAAACTTATTATGTAGCTAAGAATATATAAGTATATATTATTAATTTATGTTCATAAAAAGATTGTTGTGGAAATAAAATAAATATTAACTGATGAAACCCTAAGGCTGAGAAGTAGAAAAGTTAGATCGATCTAAACAACGTTTTGATGTTTTCTTATATTTTTCAAAGTTTACTACGTTCATAGTTATTAAACAAATCATTAGCACCGTAATAAATTTGGTTTTAATGCAGGATCGTAAATTATCTTTAAAAACTAACATTAAAACTAAGGTCTTACTCCAAAGTACCAACATAGTTATAGAAAACTTAATAGATATAGTTTTTCATTTCACTAACACCTTTCATTGGTATAAATATTCCCAAAATGTGAACTACAAAGTACACCTATGTGGAGTAAAAACCAGTAACACGTAGATATCATTAATTATAATAAACGTTCCTTTTACGTATTATGAATTTTAAACCATATAAAACCATTAAAACAAAATTATAAATTTAAAATTAGGACTTATGTTTTGCTTGGCCAGGACCAAGAACATGGTTAAATATTTTAATTTCGTTCCATGCGCGTAGTGAAATACATACTATAAGTTGGATCCAAATAATATTATCATGCATTTATAATAACTCTTTGGGTACTTAATATTTTACGAATTATTTGTTTAAACACAAATTGTTACTTATATAGATTATGATTTACATTACGAGAAATACCTGCTATTTAATTTTAATAATATACATTGATTATTATTTTTAATTAGAAACATTTTTAACGTCCATATATAGTTTAATAAAAATAAAAATATAATATATTCGCGAAAACTGCCAACTTTTTACTCAAAACTTTCATGATGAGTATTAAACAAAAACTTGATAATAATAATATGTTTCAAATAATATTCGCTTATCAAAGATTATTCAATACGTCATCTTGTTTTAGTTTTCTAAAGAATCAATTTGCGTCATTTTGTTTTTACTTTTATTATATACTTTTACTTAAGTATATATTATTCCCCAGAGAAATGTTTAGTCTGGATAAAGATTATTTTTATAAGAATTTTCTTGAACGTAAGACCTTTTCATTCTAGGGAAATGATATACCATAGTATTTCAGTTACATTTTAAAAATAGTATATATGTATCATTCATTTTACTGGGAAAAACCATCAATATAATTGTGTGTTGGATTAATAATGTATTGCGATGACATTAAGTTAAGTACCCGACTGTACCGATGTGACTATTTTATGGAGGACAATGAAAATTAATAGGTTTTATTTTAATCATCGGATGGTATTTTAAATTTACTTTTTCATTTTGTTAGATCCAAGTTATTCCGACGGTGATCAACTAGACGGACAAGAACTGCAGCAAGTGCCATCGATTTTATTTAACAAATATGCACTGGACAGAGAAGAATCTAGAAGAAGTAAGTCTCTAAAAGTTTCTATTAATTTTGCACAAGTATTAACATTATTAAAGCAACAGTGTCATTTTCATAATTTACAAATTTCCATTGATTGTAACGTTAATAAATATTATAGTGGGACCTGGCGTGGCTCGGTGATTGGCCTCGGTCACTAACGTGTTCTGAGTTCAAGCATTGGCTGGCTTCGCGAGTTCTCGGATGGGTGATCGTTCGGGTATTTAGTGACGAATCCTCCCAACACATACCCGTTCTCCTCAACCAACTGCAACCTCCCTACAAAATGCTAATGGCCATAGTTGCCGACGATTAAGATCAATAATAAAAAAAAAGATAAATTATAGTATTTTCTGTGGTTGTATAATATTTTGAGATAAGCCATATTATAATGACAAAAGTTATAATTACCCAATAATTGACCAACATAATTAATGCAAATTAATGTGAATAGTGATACGGAAAAACAAATTAATGTTACTAATATCATATATTTATTGATACTCGTTATAAAATAATTTAATAGTATAGGTACACTCTGTATTTAACAGTTATTATATAATTTTACAATATATTCGAACCGTAAAGTTGTACCAAAAACTAACACGGCAATTACTGAAAAACTCGACGAATAAAAAAAAAAGCGAACAATACATGTCGAAAACAATTTAGAACTTATAATAGTTTAACTTAATTATGTTATAATAATTATATTAATGGTTAATATAATATAATTTTTAATAATTATATAATATTATTATGTAAAAATATAGTTAATTACTTTTCATATTTCCAAGTTACAGTTTAATAACATTTTTTTTTTTTTTTTTTTTTTTAACTTATTACAAAATATATAAATTAATTACCTACATCGTACTGGGTCACTAAAAGTACAATCTGTAATAATTAATAACAACAAAGGATTTACACAATCATTGATAATACTTACAATAACAATATTTAAGTATCTATTGCTATTTGGTTTCGTATCCGCTTCGACGTTTTTTTTTAACCACTATTGTTGTTTCACTTGTTTTTCCGTATTATTTTTCACCTAGAACAATATAAATTGAGTTTTTTACGAAATAGAAAACTCAGACGTGACATTAATCTGGGTAGGTCGCTCTATGACATTTCACTGTTTGGACGTTTCTAACTGAACTTTATATTTTATATATAAATACGTATGTGTATATATACAATTTATTTGTTGGCATACAGTAACATAAAACTGTTTTCAGAAAGAATGAAAAACCTTGTAAATAAATTATAGCTTCCTTATTCCTCCAATGATTTATAATAATTACATTTCCGAGACATTTCAAATATGCTTCGGTAGAAGGTTCATACGCATATAATGCGCCTGCACGTCTAATGTAATTAATAAAATAATATAATTAATAATAGGCTATAGCAAAGTGCAGTGTTGTTCCTTGTTGGCGATGTTTTTTGTCAAAAAAAAAAGATAACCTGAACAGTGTACATACATTAAACGCATATACATTTCGTAGTCGACTTTAACATAACAATGTAACGTACTTTTTATTAATATTTTCTAATATTAAGCTATTTTATTTATTTTGGCTACTACATTTATTGGGTTATATTATTATAAATATTATCTTTTCACGAGGAGCTAATCCTGATTAGTTGGTAAACCGAAGTGACATTGAAATCCGTTACGGTTTTACGTTTTACGTTTTTGCTGCTACTGTTTGAAATTGATTATTCCAAATATTATAAAATATTTTGAATTAAACAAATATTTGATAAATCAATAGTATTCAAAAATATAAACCATTAAATTTTTGTTCCTAATTAATTTTAATATTATTTTTATACTGATACGCGGATCAGGTTCCTCATTTCTATTCAAAACATATACTTATTCTAATAAACCCCATCGGAAATGTCAATATAAAGAAAATAAATATGTAAATGTGGTTCACTATTTGGTTTGTTTATGCTACTCGTATTTATTACAAAGTCATACCAAAGATTTTATGAAGTTGGGTTTTTCACCACCGAATCGCCTACAAGTCCAAAACGCGTTGTATAGCTTGTACAATTGTATAATATTTTGCAAACCTTTTATTTAAGACATAAATTACTTGCGACAACAATTCTCATTTTATTTGTATAATTTATAGTAGTAAAACAATGTAATTGCATGTTCCTACATAAAATAATGATACTTACTTTATTTCATAATATAATTTTATAAAGATGATTTGTTTGGCTGTGATGCTATAATTTAAACCAAACGTAAATAATTGGCACCTACGATAAATTACGATAAAATAAAGATAAATTTAAAGGTAAAAACGATACTATTAAATATAATTAAAAAACAGTTATAAGTATTTTACTATTGTTACCCAAGACCTATCGTTATAATGATTGTAGGTAACTAATAAAATGTACGTTTAATAAGATTTTTTTTATTTCCCATGTTCCATATTTACACTTTATAAATAGTATAAATATTATGCATACATGCTGTTGAGTGTATGTTAATCATTTACTTACAAATTATAAAAAATAAGATTAAAATGCAATACATTTAACCGGTAGTTCATATCCCTTAATCTGGACGAATTTCAGCCGTTTTAATTTAATTTGAAAGTTAGGTTCCTAAAATTAAAATACATTAACACGAAATGAATAAAGTGAGGGAATGGGATAAATAATTAAAATTAAAGTAGATTTATTACACACGATTTCCCACAAAAGTGAACCAGCCTGAAATTTGTAATAATTATATAATATAATATAATAGGTAGTCAAAAGTATTTCTAATCTAAAATCTCATTAATATTATTTTTGTTATACATTTGATTATGTAAAATAGTTTCGGCTAAATGTATTGGCTATGCTTTACCTAAGTTATTTGAGCAACGAGCTTCATTGTGAAAATCCCAATGACAGTAAACTAAAAAAAATACTGTGATATTCGTAATGGATATGTCAAATAAAATATATTATAATTATTTAACTTACCTACAGCAGATGGTGTAAGTTCTACCTGTCGTTCATTTCGTTTAATGACTTGTTTAGAAAATTATTTAGCTTAAGATGTTAAAATATTATTTACAGCAATAGAACGTCAATAAGTTATCATTTTATGTTTAAAGATTTCATTATGACTAGGTTTTTTTCAAAGACTATACATAATATATTGTATTTTACTGAATTTTTTTTTCCTTAACGTTTATCTAACTGTAAAACAGAATGTATAGTAGTTGTTGGTTTATGGTGACATTATATTGTTATTACATTAATGTGTCCTTTATCAATAATTATATTATCTGTCGATTGACAACTAACTACGAATTTAATGTAAACCAAATATATAGAAATTAATAATTATAGATATACTTTTTTCTTACCTTTTTTTAATGTTAATAACTTAAACGTAGAGTACAAATTTAGTATAAATTGTTATTGATATATTATTATTTCCAAAACTGACAACAATAATAGTTGATTTAACTTAAATTATTGAGTGGACTGTAAGGTGTGCCAGCCTAGTTTAAAAAGTTAAATATAAAATTAGACTTGTCAATACGATAGGATTTTTTTTATATCTATACACAGTGGCATTTCCGCGGCTCACTCGATGCAATATAATAAAATGTGAATCGTGTGACATGTGTACCTAGCGCACACGTAGGGGTACCGTAATCGTGTCGATAAAATCATTGAGACCACAAGTACGAAGTGATGAGACAGACAGAGTACAAAAAGGATTACAATATGTGTCTACAATTAAGCCAAGAGATATCGAACAAAAACTTGCGGGAACTTTAAACACATTAATACGATTATAAGTGGAACTATAATGTCTTATTATTTTAACGCGTCACAATAATAATAGTCAAGTCTTCTTGTTAACGGTAAATCTAACAGTGTTAAGCTTTCCGAAATGTCCACCTATCCGATCCTCATTTAGATGGGATTCAAGAGTTTTCTTTCATAATCATCATTGTGTAAATGATACCGTCGTTCCGTATGACTTCGGTGAAAAACAGTGTTCGGCCAGGGAGATATATTATCGTTAAAGGGGACAGTAATGCTACAACTGCAGATCTTATCGGTTCAGCGAACAAAATAACTTAACATTTTTATAACGAAAGTTGTTCTAAGTATTCGGTACTCTTGATAATGAACCTAAAAAAGTTTTACGTTTTGAGATTGAATAGAATTGATGCCCATTCCGTTGAATGAAATACAAAATAAACTAGCCAAAGTGTATTAAACAAATAAAATCTCGGAATTGCGTTAGCGTGAAATTACGCGTTGTAGAGCTAGCTGGGAGGCAAAATTTGATGCACTAAAACAATTTCCTAAACATACCTACGCAATAAGGGGGCAAAAAAAAAAAAAAAATAAACACCAAAGCTGTGCAATACGAATTGCTTATTATGTGCACAGCTGTATAGTAGTGTTTAGAGTCCGGTACGACGATAGGTGACAGCCGTCTGAGATGATAATGTAATTTGTCGGAAAACCAACCAAAAAAAAAAAAACAGATTAAAAACACCTAACGCTATGCAGTCATGCCAAATCTAGTATATCACGTACCCATAGTGTATATTATAATATTATCGCTGTAAAATATTATTTAATATAATATTATGCCGAGTGTTCGAATAGTTAGAAGAGTAACCATCAATTTTGATTGGCGGCTTTTTCTGTTTTCACAAGTCGATGAAAACGTTTGATTTGTTGTAAAACGTACCTATATACACGCACAAAAACATTATTCTTTTCAAACGGCAACAACAGTTGTTTTCGATTACGGTTTTCTATAGTCTGACGTATTTTTGTTACTGTCAATTTTGACTCGTATAATAATAATATTAGGGTGTATAGCCTTTAGCATAAACGTCAATAATTAAGTGTAATTATTGTGCCCGTGAAAATATTACCATATATACCTAGGTACTATTTATCATTCTGAACTCGTCGTGTCGCTGATAAATATAATATATTAATAATATGATATTATATCACTATCGTCCTGGGCGGTGTCGTCTCGTCGTGGAGTATAGTTGTGAATGATCGTGAACGTCTACTGTCTCGTCTCGTCTCGTCTGGTCGTGGTCGTCGTGGTCGTTACCCGTGTTTTTTATAATGTGCATAACAAACGAATATTATTTCCGGTGTCTGTTTTTGCAGTTCATCCAAAGCAAAGCCACGAGATCCGCCGGAACATCCGGGGTCACTCGGCCGCGCCGAATTTAGCGACGGAAACGCCGTCCGGCACGTTGCGGACAAACGGCCGAAGCAAAACACCTCAGCATCTGGTCGTGGACATGCTGCCGATGGACCATCCAGATCAGGATTACTACCCGAAACCGAAATTCCGTTCGAGACATCGGAATTCCAATCAGAGTAGGTCTCGAGAAGAATTCTTGGGCGGCGGTGGCTGCGGCGGCGGTGGAGGCGGTAAGGGTGCGTATATGAGGAAAACGTCACAAACGACCAACACACACACATACCAACACACTTACACGCACAAATACATATTACCCATGACTATACTGATAATAATATTGGTTTTCCCCCTTCGCCTTATATACAATAATTATATATATAAATATAATATTCTGTATATTATACACCGCACACTAGTATGTACACTAGTAAACAAAGATTTACACTTTTGACAGGCTTATTTTCTCTTTAGAAATTACCATGAAATCAGTGGCGACCGTCATCGGTCATCACATTATATTACCATACTAATGTAGTAACGTAGACCCCTAAAATATTGATTCCTTGCGTACGTTTTCGGTCGTAAGACTAAACTAAATTTGCATCCGTGTGGTGATAGCAGACATTTCGGACCGGCTTCGGATGAGGACTGGGCCGGAACGGACGTTTGCCACGCCGCCGTCGTCTCGTAATCGGACGTTTGAGCTCGAGTTTCCGACCGACCGGAAGTAAATCATCGGCGGCATACGGAACTAATTGCGAGCGCCTCCACTACCGGTGCCGATGAATACGATACATTAATTACTCATCGACAAAACTGTATATGACGCGTTTCGTAACGAGGCCGTTTATAGTTTGTATTTTTTTTGTTGCAATATAATAAGGGTCTACTTATATATCTCTATATAGGTACTAAAAAGTTAGCAGTTGACTAGGAGAGGGGTGGGGGGGGGGCTTAAAATTATAATACTACTTAATTGGCCCATATCGTAAATCCAAAACAAACACGAATTTTATCCACGTGAAAATATGTAGGTAGGTATCTATTTTAAATGACTTCACGATGAACTCCACTATACAACGATAATAATATATATATAGGTACTATTCAGTTTTGCAGCGATGAACAATTTTCAATGCCTAGTTATGTTTTGATAAAATAAAACAGTTTACATTTAATGACATGCTAAAATTAAATTGTTAACAAATGTTTTAATATATTTTGTTTTATGTCTATGAAATTTAATTTCACAGTGCATACGTTTTGACAGTATTTCGCACGTTTATGATGTGGTTGCGAGTACATTTTGTATAGGAATAGTGTAGTTTGTTAGTTTTACATTTTTAAAATGTACGTAACGTAGTATAGTACTTAACGAATGTTATATTTTATTTTGGATGAGTACCTTTAGAAAATTGAAAACAAAACACAATATCATATTCAACTCTATAATGATAGCTCCTATTTGTAATATTTTTCTCTTTTGTGGAAAAATAATTTTTTAGGTCTAATGCCGTGTAAGAATATACGAAGCAGAATATCGTTTTAAACAATTACTATAGGTAGTTTAAAAATAAGTTATTAATATTTGAAAAAAAAATTGAATATAAATTTGTAGGCACAGATTGATATAGTACGTGCATTTTAGCTTAAGTGAATTATTCCATAATAGTTTTCTTTATTAATTGTAAGATTAAAAATGCATTAATTATTTATATTTGCTAAGCCCTTAATATAATTGACCTTTATTGATCTTTATTTTATCATACCTTTGTTGTGTTTGTATGGACTTTTATTGATCTCTAAATGGACCTCTTGTAGCAACTGTACATAATAATATAATACGAATGGTGTTAGATTGGACTGTTAGATAATCTTCTTTCTAAAATAACACACTATTTCGTTCGAGTCGACTCGGTTAGGCGTATTGACTCAAAACTGTAGGAAAATAACCAGGAATTTCACATTTCATCGACGAATAAAAATCGACCGTTGTGGTGTAGTAGAAGAACGATGTTTCGAATTCCAAATGCGCAAGGCACTCGTAAAACGACCCTATCAGAAATTCACAACGGGCGCAGTACTATGTCAGTACGGACTAATATTGGCGCTACTAGGTATGTAAGGGTGATGCTATTCCACGGCGGCATCGGACGTTTTAGTGATACGACTGCGTAGCGGAACGAATAATGTTGTGACGTATAGGAGGCGGTGGTCGCCGGGCAAAACATAGTTAAAGTTTCCAGGGACAGAATATATTATATACAATAAAATCTCAAGGACTATCATTCCCCCCTACATGAACACCCCCCCCCCTGACCACCGATCGCTACTAAACCATCTCGAACGCGGAGTTTCCCGCGGCATCATTAGTCCTCGCGGGGCGAGCAAAGAAAATACCCCCCCCCCTCCCCCCGTACGGAGAGTGGAATGGGAGAGGAGAAAATAATAGAAAGGGGGTAAATAGCGGTAAGCCCGATGTTTTTACTCGATTTGCCAGTGTGCGGGGAGAAATAGCTCTAGGATTAGGTTTTCGGTTTTTACCATCGTTTTCTGTTACTGTTATTTGTGGATAAAAACGAAAACAGTAGCACACACTATTTCATTGTCCAACGCGTCCTATTATATTATTATGTTATATCGGAATCGTTATTGTAACCGTGGACTGATGCACTTACTGTTGAAATAATATTATATCGTCATAGGAGTTAAAAGGTTTTGAATTGTTTTTTTGTTTTCAAGTATGACGCGTTTTTATAATCGTGGGTAATTATAAAATATACATAATACGTAGATTAAACTGTACGGTAAGTGTTTATATCAGTAGGATTCCTAAACACGAACTTACAGTTTGCCGTACAAATGCAAACGTTTGAATAATGTTGAACATTTTAATATGCACATTAGACGGTGTGCTTTTGAAATACGTCATGTTTATGATAAATTTTAAGTACCTACGCAGCGCCGGAGCATAGCTTTTTAACACCCGGGGAAAATTAAAAAAATACGCCCATCTCAGGGAGATGACCAGACTTAGTATTTTTTTTACGAAAAATCAATCACACTCACACAGTATTGCGAGGAACTGAGGACCAACATTTACAAAACCTTTCCAAATATACTGCAGGACCAATCATTTATTTGCCACAAATAATTTGAACGATTTTAACTTAAAAATGAAACATTTTAAATTTTAAACTATTCACGTAATATAGTTTTAGAAGCACTTCTTAATGGTGTATTTAAAGCTAAAATCTGTGGTCAATATTTCTAAGTTCCAGGTTTAGAATAAATAATATTGATAATAATAACATGTATGAATTATTTATTAACAAATCTAAATTAGGTATCCATTGCTTACTTTTAATATAGGACGCTTTAGGTAAAAGAACAATATTTAATTTACAACATACCTATCAATATTATACATTTTCATTTTTAATATTTGGTACAATCAAAATTAATAATATCAAATATGTACCTAGGTACGGAATAAATACAATGAAACAAAAATGTAATTATGTTCTGAAAATTGTAATTTAATGATTATAACACGACAGAGAAATATTTATCATGGATTATCACTTACGGATTGAATGCACCTATATACTAAAATAACTACATTCTACATTCTACATTTTAGAATAATAAGGACTTGGTTATCTGTTTGACATCTTGAACTATAAAAATAATTTAGACAAAAAACTCAGTTTATAATAAAAAAAAAATGAACCAAATAGAATATAAATTTCCTTTTAAATTGTTTTAATATAATATGTAAAACATAATATTCAATCTGTCTTGGGCTACAATCAATAGGATAGTATTTTTGTTTTAATTATTTAATTATGTTGTACTTTTGTAGTATCAAGTTTATCAAGTAAATTAATAGTTGTATACTTGTACCCATTTAAAAAGCAAACACAAATGACAAATTATATTCCATTTTGTGTTCTGTTTCATTTATCTAGTGGCCATGGTGATATTTATAAAAAAGTTCAGTTTATAAAAAGGCATTAATTGTTAAATACAAAGACTTTTATAAGTCTAGGTATGAACATGTAATTTAATAAATAATCTGAAAACAATTAAATCATTAGTACCTAAGTAAAATTTTATGTAGTACATAATTTTATGCAGTACCTACCTATTTGGAAAAATATATAGTTGTTAATTTAAAATCACAAAACAATGAATTACAATTAATAGTGCGATTTTTAAGATTAAGGTTTTAAACAACTATCTACATAATATTATATTATATGCAAGATGTCCTTTTTAATATTTAAATCAATGTTATTAGTTATTACTAATCTTGATAAAAAATAAAATTATTTTATTTTATTCCCATACCCAATATTACACATTTCCTGTGAAATATAATTTTGTACTTAGTTTTGACTTTTTATTTAAAGTCCATTTTTAATTTTCAATTTACAAAATATTTAAAACCTTAAAAATACGCCCACGAAAATTATACGCCCGGGGATAAATCCCCGACTTCCCCCCCTAGATCCAGCCCTGTACCTACGTATTATTATATATATATGTGTATATAGTTTGATTTTGCTTAAATGTTGCTTACGTTTTGTTTTATCTTTATCTATAGTCTAAACTTTATTTATTTAACCTATGTTTCACATCTAATTAGTATGCTAATGCATCGGTAAAGACATCGTGTTTTTGCCATTGAAAGTTTATTCAATTCATCAAAAGACAAGTTATGAAATATATACGAACGTACTTAAAACTTTAAAACATTCGATGATTATCTTTGAGACCCAAAAGGGTTGAAGGTATAATATTATATATTTTATGATAGTATTACAATATTATGAATAAAGTTCGAACAAGTTCGTGACATTTATTTCAATAGTTTTTATTTGAATAAAAGCAAATTTGCATGTATACCGATTGGCAATCCTTATATACATAATTTTAAAATGAAAATGTTACTAAAATGAGATTAAATAAAATAGAAACTGAACGAGTCTCTTGTAAAAATGGATTCACCCAAAGACAATAACTATACTATTAACAAGTATTTGAGTGTACATATAATAATTGTATTTTTATGTAATTTTATGCAATATAAATTTATAAATTTATCGCATATAAAACAAACACGTAAGCAGCGCTTACGGTTATAGGCATACTAACTCGACACTAAAATGCCATTGAAATTCTTGTCGTTTTAAACAATTTTTTTAAAAATATTATTACCCCAAAATATTTATACCTGTGTAAAAAAATATCAACCCCCTTCACCGAAATACCTATGCAATTTGTGCCTGCGAGGCCGATGTAAGAGCGTAGTTAATTTATTTGGGTGGTATATAGGTGACCATTAGGTGTAAAATTATTGAATGCTAAAATAATTATTGTTCTATAGTCTCTGAAGGTTAGGTTCCTCCAATCGACAACATTATATTATGCTAATTTTTTTAAAAAATTTTTTTTTATAAGTTTACCGAATCAATTAGACAGAGAGCTATATCATTTTATCATAAACTTATAGAAAATATCAATGGTTTTCATAATAATTTATGTAAGATCACATTTATGGATTGATAACCGAAATTGTTTGTATAAATATTTTTAAACCATTAAATATAAAATTTAAAAACTAAACCACAATATTTGTGAATTCAATTCGATACGCCTCTAAATAAATTCATTAGGATGATGAGTAACTTTTTTTAAACACTTTCAGCTTAATCATTCAAATTGAGTGTACAATATAGATAGATACCAAAAATAAAATAAAAATTGCATTATTATTATTATACCTTTATTATAAATTGAATACCAACAAGTGTATACAATTTAAAGTAATGAGGTTTTCAAAATTTAAAATTTATAATATTATTTTCTGCACACATTTAAGTAGGAATACACAAAATATCTACCTAACACTGCCCACATAATATTATTATTTTACTGAAAAAAGTAAATTTTCTTATCTGCAAAAATAATGACAGACTAGGAATTTCATAACATTGGTTTTACTTTGAAATATCACACAAATTTTTATTCATTTTTTCACGTCGCAAAAAAAATGTTTCATAGTATTAAAAAAATATAATATCTATAGTAGAAATAACAAACAAAATATATCCATCGTGTTCATTATAATATGCTCTGGATGTTATATTTACTCCATATTGTGAATATGAAACGTTTTACAATATTATAGATTATAATAATATTATGTCGTGACAACGATAAAAACGTGAGGTTTTCCAAAAAAAAATTTTCTCACCCCCGACACCGGTCGTTTTCCGCAGGCAAACGTTTGGAGGTGATGGCGCCCAGCCCGCGGATCATGTCACCGCTGGGTTTCGCCGTGAACCGGCAGTACCCCCGGCGGTCGACCCGGTACAGCGACTACTACGACGACACGGAACCTTGCGAGTTCGACGACAACAACCCTGACCACATCAAGCCCGTGCCCATATGGCTGTGCGTGCTCCTGGTGGTCAGCTACATAATCATGGGCGCGTTCCTGTTCAAGAGCTGGGAAAACTGGGAGTTCCCGGACTCGGCGTATTTCTGCTTCATAACGCTCACCACCATCGGGTTCGGCGACTTCGTGCCCGCCCAGCGGGTGATGAACAAGGGCGACGACACCAAGCTGCGCATATGGTTCTGCTCGCTGTACCTGCTCTTCGGCATCGCCCTGTTGGCCATGAGCTTCAACCTCGTCCAGGAGGAGGTCATCAGCAACGTCAAGACCGTGGCCCGGCACCTGGGCATCATCAAGGACGAGGACGAAGAGGAGTCGGAGTGACGCCGCGCGCGGCACTTGTTGAATAACAGAAAATAATAATAATAATAATAATAATTTAATATCATCGTCGAGTATGTATACAATAACAATATAATAATATGTAGGTAGCTATTATACTCATATAATATAGCAGGGGTGGCCACAACGAGGCTGGTGACTGTGGCGAGTCAGTTTCGTGGGGCTCTAAGATATTTCTATAAATAAATAAATGTTTAATAACATTTAATATTATAATAATAAAATATTAGGTATATAATGCTGTTTCATAATTTGTTATGAAATGAAAAATGTGTCTTCATTTCATAACCATCTCTTAACAATGTGGCTCGCTTCATATTATAGCTTCATAATTTTTCGGCTCCCCAAATTAAGATTAGTGGCCACCACTGTAATATAGGAACCGAAAACTTCGTGTTGTGACTTTCGCGTGAATTTATTGTTTTAAATAATATTATGTTATATTACGATGTTATAATTATAGTGTTCTATAGGTTGACCGTCTGCTCTGGTTTCAGATATTTTACCTGTTTTAGGTGATTGCAGTTTGTAGACCGTTTTAAGAAACGTTTTAATAACCTATTTTATTAATAGACCGTTTAGGAAAACGAAAAAGATGATAAAAAAATTATTTAATTCCAACCGCAATTTTAAATTTAACTATTACTATATTACTGACGATAATATATGATTTTTATATTTACTTCATTCCTACCATAAATTAATCAATCGTTATATTAATTATTTTATATAAAATGGAATTTTAGAGATCTGTATAACGTAAAATATAACGTACAATATTCTATGTTTTACACTATTCAATCTCACGTGTAGCTACAAAATTTGTTTTGCTATTAAATTGACTATTATAGACATTGTGTATAATTATAAACAGTATTACGTATAAAACATTATTACGTTTTAAGTGCGAAAACGGTCTATCAAATTACAATTTATTATAATATATAGGTACAAAATGTGCGCAAATGGTTGCCACTATAGCAGTTATTATACATTATAAATACCTACGCTATTCCGTCTCTCATTTGAAGGGTTGTGCGGGAATCGCCTATGCATCGTATAGGTTGATAGGTTTATAACAATATTAATTTCAACATTATAATATATTATGGACAACGAGTTTTAATAACTGTTTATTATTAGTTATAATTTATTGCTATATATATTATGTAAAATCGTTGTCAATTTAACGGGTGAAAATAGTAGAAAACCTTCTTCGTATCCGACCGAATGACGAAACTCCGTCTTCGTTATGACCGTTTACAGGTAACGATATTATTATTTTTATTATTATTTTAAGTGCGCGCGCATCACCTTTTTGATTTTCCGTCGTCCATACATTACGGATTTGCCCTCGATCTACATAGGTAACGATAAATACTTCACACCTGTTGACGATACAACATAAATTATTATTATATAAGGGACATATTATTATTGTTTTTTTTTTTTTAAATACTTCCTATTGACTATATAAATATATTTTGGAAATAGTTCAATTATTAATCGGTATACCTACCTACGCGTATTATTAAACGATAGTTTTAATTAAAACTCGTAGCAAATATACCGTTATTCAACAAAAGCAACGTAACAATATTAAATTTGCACCAAATTAAAACTGACATAGTGTAAACTTGACGTAGTTACTTTATGCGCTAGAACTTCACTGTGTATACAAGTCTGCAAAAGTGTAATTTAGCTCCAGAGTACATAAACGAAAACGGGGTCACGAATCTTTGATAAGGATCTGTTGCCGTTTAAATCTCTAAAGCTATCAACGTAATGTGTTATAGTGCATTTCAAGTACCTAATGGAGCAATGGAGATATTGATAAAATTATATTATATATTTAGATAATCTACAACGTAAAATGGCTCAAAAAATAAAATACCAGAGATTTTATTTACCCAACAAACCATTACCAATTCCCTTTGTAAAATATTAAATGTATCTTTCCGACTGTCGGGTTTTTTTTTCTGAATAGGCTTCCGAGTCAACACGACTTCTGTCATTCTATTCACAACAATATAATCATTTCGATTTTAGACGATTACATTTAAGTGCCTGTATTTATATTTTATTTTATGAAGGGGAATCTAAAAATATTGCAATATCACCATCTTAAATACGTATATATTAATATAAACATTAAAAAAACTTCTCGAAAATCAAGTTTCGTTTTCACATACAATTTTGAATACATTTAACCCTACATTCATTTTTATTACAAATTACAATTATGTTAAATACTAAATTCAAGTATCGTCATTATAATTTATAATATTATTAGGTATTATATTCATATTAACTTGGAATATGGAAAGTACTTTCCAAGTATTACATTACCTTTAGTAAAATATTACCTAGTTACCATGGTAATCCATTTATTTTTATTTACAGACGTCTAGAGTTCTACTAAGTACTAACAACATTATAGGCTATTTAATGAATATTACGATTTTATTATTACATTTCATTTTTAGATAGGTACTTGTGTTTGTATTTTATTTTGTCATTTGATACTAAAAACTTCAGAGAGAAATGTTCCATTACAAATATGTTTTTTGTATAACATTTTTAAAATTGCATTTATTATGTTTCGAATTAATGTTAGTTTACTAATCATAGTAATAAGTTTAATTAAAAATATTTTTAATTATGAAAGACATTCAAAATAATTAGTAATTGAAATGTATAATGTATATAATTAAGGACACTGATTGTAACTTTATTAGATTGCATAAATATTATTTATTACATTTTTATATGGCTTAAAATCTATAAGGAACATCTGTTCAGTCAATTTATAATAGTCCTCACTCCTCAACAATCTTAAACGTTTATTTAAGTTTTAAAAAAAATATATATTTATAAGTTGTTTCAATTTCATTGCACCCTCAAAATGCCGACTTTACATTTTTTTATGAATGACTTAAAATAAATCAATTTTATTTTCAAGTGAACTTTACCGATTAGTTTAGAATAAGATACTTGTATGAATAATTTCATGTTAAATAGATTATACTGGTGAATAAAATTTTTTTTGTGTTCTCTTTATTTAGAGTGTTCCAATGATAACAAAATGTTTGTCAAGTATTTTACTCTGCTTTTTATTATTATTATTATCATTACAACTTTAAAGTAGTTAGAAGTATAGACATTTATTTATTCATCTTTTAAAGGTATAAGTACATTATTTAAATTGCATACCTACAGACGTAAATGCACATAAAAAGAACTTTTCAAAACTATAATATGATTGTGTGCTCGTTAAAGTAGAAATTATTATTATCTTTGTAAACCTTTTTTCTATTTATCTTTTCAACAATAATGATTTCGTAACCCAGCCAGTAATTTAGTGATTATTATAAACAATAGGTACTTTTCATTTAGAATTAATAGCCAATAATAATAGAACCATCATTTTAGATTCTGAGTGGGATGATATATGACTGTATTGATTTTACAATGATGTGAGTATTTTTTTTTGTGTCTGAGTACACGATAAGTAGTCGAAATAAATCTTCGATTTTCAACTTCAGTATCTTGCTCGATTGGAAAGTGAATATCGTTGGTGCATTACGGAGTTCAAAATTTAAAATTCAGAGTAATTTTCAAAAGCGCCAAGAAAAACAAAAGAAAAATTAAGGAAAAACGGGAATTTTTATGCAAAATTGACTTTGGTTTTTGGTGTAAGTTTAAAAAAATGACCGTAGATACATGACATTTTCACTGGTCGTTTATATTTGCATTTTCTATAAACGTTAAAATTTTCAAAATATTTTGATTCATTTTGAACTGTTTAGGGACATTTTGAGTTTAAAATTTTATTCATTTTTTTTCTACGAATGTCAATAAATATATGTTGAGTAAAAATACTTGAAAATTTAATACAAGGCTCCTACTGTATTGTTACACTGACATTTGAAAAATATTAAAAATCCTTAGTCACAGATTTTTTTTATAAGCATTTAAAGTTCAAATCTTGACAAAATATGGAAAAATCACGAAAATTATCAAATTATTTTTAGTTAAGAATTCTTAAAAAATTTTCTTTTTAAATCTAATATATGCAAATGTAATACGAGATTCCTTTTAAGTTTGTCTACTTTTATCAAAAAAAAAAAGTTCTTAAGAAAGTCAAATTAAATTTTTATAAGCGTTTGAAATTCAAATTTTTACAACATTGGATATTCACTCGATTTCTCATGTAGCGATTTTGTTACAATAGCAGTTGAAAAATATTAAAAATACATAGTCACAATTTTTTTTTATAAGCATTTAAAGATCGAATTTTGACAAAATTTAATTGTTTTGTAGTTAAAAATTTATAAAATGTTCAACTTTTATATTCAAGGATTGGACATTTGAAACAAGATTCCACGTAAGTAGTTAATTCTGTTCCCAAAAAATCTAAAAAATATATAAGTACAGTTTATTTTTATAGTCATTTTAATTTCAAATTTGAACTAAATTACATAATAAAAAAACCTAGAATAACTATTTTAGTTATTTTGTTGTGATTATATAATATTATTTGTGGTTACTTGAAAGTTCTAAAGTATACTGCTATATATCTATGATAGTAACACGGTTTGTTGTTGATATATAACATGTCATAAGTACCTATAATTGATATTGTGTTATGATTCATTTTGAATTTATTATAGGTACAATTTTTTTTTTAATACTATAGATATGTGTATAATATGTCTTATATTATCTAGACTGACATACTGTCTCCGCTCAGAATCGTTTTTCTTATACAATGATATTATATCATTGAATTCAAAATTAATACCATCCATTATACAGTGACCCCCTATTGTAACCTACTGTACAGCAGAACGACTGTTATTTTTTTTTATTTCGATAGATTATACGCTATAATATCGTATTTATCATATGATATTATTATACTAGATAAATGTTATCCAGGGGATGGAGTGGCCGAGCGGACTAAGGTGTCTAAGACGCGC